ACACAACCAACAATAAACATCAGCATCGGTGGTTCAGTGGTAGAATGCTCGCCTGCCACGCGGGCGGCCCGGGTTCGATTCCCGGCCGATGCAAGTCTTTTTTTTTGCATTTTGTAGCAACGACAAAACAGAGCAAAACTTAGTTTTAGTTCTTAAAATAAACTTAACCGCACAGCGCAAAGATCAGTGGATATTTACTTTGGAAAGGCCAACAAAAGCTGTTTACCTGTACGACTAGCAAATTAATAAATAAAACGACAGACGGCACGCATGGCTAACATCGCCAATTAGTTCAGCGGAGTGCACTTCCAAAGACATTTGTAAACCATCAACTATTCTTGACTGAAAAAGAAAAACCAGATTTACAACTTCATGTGAAAGCAGCCGCCACGCCGGCGGATGCGTATTGCAGATGATTTGACACGGGATACGCTGAATTTTAAAAAGTTTTTTGTACATTTTGCATTATATTTAAATTTAACCTTACAGGAAACTCGAGACACCGCCATATATTTTACATTTTAACAGGAAATAACCGTCATAACGATCAAAAACGTTCGTAAAGTAGGTAGGAATACAGTTAACTATCTCAGCGTTTTAAAAGGAGTCTTTTTCGGAGGATTTTCAGCTATTTTTAAACTTTTATTTCCGACACATGTAGTGAGTGCTTTTAATGCGTTTTTATGAGCGTGCTTTGGATTAACTGCAGTAATTCAGCGACAGACGCGCTCTTGTTTGATGCAGAGTGTTGACTTTATCTTCCATAAAAGCGAATAGTTCTCGTATTAATAGGCCATTCAGATGTAAAATTCATCTGTTACGTTAACAACCCCGTCAACTCTGCAGCGGCGAACAGTAAATTAAAAAGAACTCTCGTGGAAGAACTCAGTCAAAACATAATGAAGATGAATGGCCCAACACAACGGAATTAACGCATGTTATAAATAAAAATAGTGAATTCAGAATGGAAACACAACTACTCATAAATAATATATGATGCTCCTGGGAGTTCCTTACCCTTTTTTGTCTTCATAAAGCTCTCTCGAAGAACTTCGAACACGCACTCTCATTAGTTAAGGAATTTTTTGTAGCTAATCCTGTCATCCGAATACAGAGAGGCACCGCGTGGACGCAGAATGTTCGACTAATTATGTTCTAAGCATGGTTGTAAAAAATATTAGTAATAATTAATATGTTATTTAAAAATTAAAACCAAACATGAACGTATGTATACCTCTCACTCATTGTTTCTGGAAAAAAAAATACGTGACCACGTGACTACGCACATAAATTCATAGTCATTTACGCCGTTTCAGGACGGCAAATATTATTTTCATGCAGGGTTTATTTATCAATGAAAATTTAATCTATTTTTTTTTTAATGATACGCTTACCATTGCAACAACATTGTTTGCGTTATAGTGTTTAGAGAATTTCAGGAGAATCAAAAGACATTATTGACAAAATATCTCGATTAAATTAAAAATTTTCCCTAAATCAATATTAGTGTCTTATGAACATTTTAAAAATTTGTGTTATGTAGTTACTGAAATGTTATAAAAAGCGATATTATTTTTGTAAATATAATAATCCATATTTTGAAAGTTTAAGTAGGAGTGTATATTACAAGCTCGCTGCTGAAAAAACCAAATCCGTTTTAAAGTACTGAAAAAATAAAAAAATATTTCAGACTCACACATGTCAAGAGAAACGAAATTAAAAATTAGTTTTACTTCTTCAGTATGTACTATCTTTTGAGGTAAGATTTAAAACATTTAAATTTGATGTTCGTCGTAAAACAGCAGTGACGGCGAAGGTAACATAATATAATAATAAATTACATGCCTGCATATTAGGAATCTATATTAATTGAATAATTTTTAAAATTACTTAACAAAAACGGAAGTCGACCATTTAAATACATAATTATATATAACTAAAACATTATTTTTTATTAGCTGATCAGAAGCTATAATTATCATTTTCATTTTACTGTAACTGTAACTAATTTGAGTTTTTTTAGGAAACATTTTGTATCAGTCTCACGTTCAGCAGCTTGGGTAACCTTTGGGAAAATCATTGTAATTACCGTTTTACCTACCCGTAGTTAATGTTGAACTTACAGGCTTAGCTTAATCTAAATTGTTACTACTTACAAAATGGTTTTGCGCACCACTTATGCTTAAAATGTAAGGGTCAATTGTTCTCTATCTTTTTTATATGACAAAAATTACGCACAGATAAATTTTTTTCGAGGATTAATATGTAGAGATTCCCGAAAAGTTTAACGTTTTATTGACTTTAATGCTCCTTGCCTTAGTCAAAAAATGTCCAATGCTAAATTTTACCAAATTTAGTGTTTTTATTTTTAAGATGTTCTGCACCGGTTACTACTACAATTATTAAATATGCAGTATTAACTAAAATCAAAACTGTAAATTACTAACAAAAATTGGAACTGGAACTCTGAAGTACAGAAGCATAGAACTTTAGTCTATGACTTTTTTGTCTATGTTGTAACTCGCCTTACAAAACTCCAAAGAAAATTGATTATCTTTTTGACTTTACAAAAATGAATGAAGAAATGAAGACTCGTTGGACTACAAATCTCTTGAAATACGTTGTCTCAATTTATTAATAACTTCTAAATTTAAGACATTACATACTTAAAAGCAAATTGTTCTAGTAAGTTTATTCAACCTCAAAGTACCATTTTATACTACTCTTTGTCACAATACATTTGTCCGTTACGTGCCCCAAAAATTTAACGTTTTCAAATTTAAATTGAATAGTTAAATACCTGTTAACAGCGCCGAAACAAAATTCTAAATTCTTCATTTTATTTATTTTTTTCAAGTTTTCGATTTTGACTATAAATATATGTTCTTCAGTTGATATTCGCGTTACTCTGTTATTAGTTAAACTAAAATCTATAAATATCACTTTGGGCTTCTGGTGTTTTGTACTAGCCCCGCCCGCCCGCCCTCTATTTTTTTGGAGGGTATAACATTTGCCAAAATCAGTCTTATCTTAGCAAGTACTACCCCCGCCCACCCGCCCTCTATTTTCTTGGAGGGTATATCATTTGCCAAAATCAACCGTTTCTTAGCAAGTACTAGCCCCGCCCACCCACCCTCTTTTTTCTTAGAGTATATATCATTTGCCAAAATCAGTCTTATCTTAGGAAGTGCAGTACTTAACCAGTACTAAGAAAATAAATGGTGGGTGGGCGGGACAGTACTTGTTAAATTAAAACTGATTTTGTCAAATGATATACTTTTTAAAATAATAAGGGGGTGGGTTGGCGGTAGCTAATACTTGCAAGCACTACCCCGCCCACCCGCCCTCTAGTTTTTTAAAGAGTATATCAATGGCCAAAATCAGTAGTATCTTAGGAAGTACGCATATTTCTCGCTACATCCACATATCCAATTACATCATTTCTGCACGGGTGTGGTAAAGATTTTTTTAGATTTTTCTTTTGTAAAAGCCGACCACAGTTTTAAAGTTGTAATCGTCGCTATAAGTTTAACTAATTTTCAGCGTTAAGACATAATATTTCATGAATTACCGCTGACATTCCGAGTTCGTAATAAGAGTGGCAATTCGACCGACAAACTCGGTTACTATACGTCCTTAGCTTACGCTCAGGAAGTAAAAATATGCGCAATGCAGAGTGTTTACCTTCTGTTGAACGTGGTCATTGACCACGTTGCTTCTTATGGGCTATATTTGACTCTGTCTGCTTTGAGCGAAAGTTTATTTCACTTCTACTCAGAGGAAATGTACGTATAATACTCTGCGTGAGGTCAATAATTAAATTGACCAAACGAACCGCGAATGAGAATTGTGTGTGAAATTTTGTCAATGTCATGATACAACATATACGAATACAAAATAGACAGAAGTAATTTTAACAAAAAAATATTTTATTCAGTTTTTATCTTTTAAGAGGTTCTTTGGGAGGGGGGGTCATTGAGCATTTGACCCCATGGACGAGCCGCCACTGAGTATATATGAAAGAAAACAGTCCAGTTGGGCACGAAATATTTTCTTTTGTAAACTGACGACGTAAAATATATTCTTTTTACGTTAATAAATTGTTTATTCTATGATAACTCTGAATCGATCAAGTGTTCAAAAAGTTGCTGTTACAAGAATTTCTAAATAATTTAATATGATGTGTAGAAGTCTTATTTGAGTTAGTAGTTCTAGAAATGGGTGCAAATACCATAGTGAACCACCAGCATCTCCAATACCTTAATGTTTCGAATTGAAGGCACCATCTACTAAATTTTTAACCTTCTAAAATTTTTAATGTAAACTGGCAAGTAAAGACGGGGTTGCGAGAAGTCTCACAATTATTAAATCCAGCTCTGGTTGGAACTAACACAAGTAGCACATTTAAATGTAATTAAGGAAAATGTGTCTGCTCTTAAGGACCTCTTAACGGAGACACTTTTCACGCTCCATTTACGAATGGTAGAAAAAAAATCACAAGTTAATAGAAAATATCACTTTCTGTTATCAATGCAAATACACAATTAGAGCAACACGATCCACCAGTAGAGAACAATTTGTAAGCGACATCCGCTGAACCCACACCCGATAGATTTTTCCTGTTCGCAATTTATTTATTGGTGCCGCATCCACGTTCGCACAAAGCGCTACTGTCCCTTAAAATAACAACAATTGAGAGGTTTTTCATGTTTTTCGCAATTTTATTATACTTATCTAAATCCAATATTGACAAACGTACTCGTAGCAACATCAAAGCGGCTCTTTTTATCAATACACCGCGAAAAACGCACCAGCTGATCGACTCCGCTGCCGTTCATTATTCCGATTCTAAGTTCGGACAATGCTCGCAGATTCGTCTGACAGATTGTGTTTACCAATTGAGATTTCGCGATCGCGAAAAACTCGATCTAGATATGAACCGGCTCTGTTTGCCGTCGCATGCTGCTTGAATGAGAAGAACTAGTCGGATATATACTCACATTGAATGTTGAGCAAGGCCCCTGAACTCGTGATGGAACGGCTGGCTGAAGACTCTTCTGCTATGCAGGTGAACTGACCTGAGTCGCGTTCGCGGTCCACGCGTGTTATGTGGAGGTTGGAACCCTGCTGGTATCGGCGGGTTGTGTTGGCTATTTTAGAACCTGCACGAAACAATTACAACTCATTTACCTGTCAAAACATGAATCAGGGGATGTTATAGCGCAACTGGGTTTCTCTTTTGATTAATTTACTGTTAACGACATGGTCCCGGAGGACAGGGTAGAGGGATTGCGGGGATGAATCCGAACAAAAATGGTTGTACAATTTCTCTACAAACGGTGGAAATAACAACTGACAATATTAGGGGCTTCAAAGAGAAGGATCTGAATACAGCATCGTCTCAGAACTTAAAAAGATACATTTGTTGTATTACATTTGTATAGGCTTTGGAACCGTAGGACTTGGGAAGCTTGTGCTGTATAAAAAAGAAGTTGATAGTTTTATAAACGTAGAATTTAATACATAATAATAAGTTTACAGTGATAAGATACAAGCACTTGCAAATGTCAAAATAAACATCTAAAGAAAATATAACAATTTTCTTGAAAAAAATAACATAACATAAATAGTAAAGGTCTGAAAAAGGAAAAAATAATATTGGAACTGAAATGATGAAAATTATACTACAGACTGGCAAGTGCCATTCGGATAATCGTTGAATGAATGCCCTTTTTAACAAAAAAAAAAAACACCTGACTGGTTACTTTTATGTTTTTTAGACGTGTAATGATCCCTAGAGTATAAAACAAAAGGTTTCCCCTTTCCATCCATGTCTGTTTGTCTGCCGTCTGCAGTCTGTGTCAATTTTTATTAAATAAACCTCGAAAAGTTTATATATATGTTAAGAATGTCGTGTAGATAATAAATAAAACGTTAATCATATGGTTTCTGATCATCCCCACCAGCAGTGCGATGATGTCATTTACGCCACTAGTTCTTATTTTATAGACTGGACTGTACTTCTGGAAAGTTCTATCAAAATATCCCTCGACCAATTTATGTTTATATTTATAATTTCATTTCTGGTTTTCAATGGAAAATATACATATACTTATGACCGGAATAATTAAAATGAGAGCATATTAATAATGCATTTACTTTGAAAATTACGAATTTTAAATAAATTCAGACACTCAGGACTCAGGTTTTCAATTTCATATCATTTTCTCATGTAATGGAAAAATGGTTTTTTAATTCTAATTACATAATAAAAGAGCAAACAAATTCACCTGTTTTCAATATTGTTTCAAACGTTTTTATGTTTGTAGAAAAAATAACGCAGGGCGTAAAATGATATTTTGGTACACGGAGTGATTTTTACTTCCCAAATTATAGGAGTTTTTCAAGCGGAAGGTTATTTTCAAGTTTTTTCGACGTTTCATGGCCCCTAGAGTATGAAAATAGGTGTTACATTTCCGTCTATCTGTTTGTTGTCTGTTCGTTTGTCGTCTGTCGACTGTGTCGATATTTATTAAGCCGAAAATCTCCTGCGAAGCTACTGATCCATTATTACCAAAATACTTATATGTACTCTATGAATATCGTGTAGGTGGTAAAACAATAACCAAAATATATTTAATCATTCCCACCAACATTTTGATGACGCCACCTCAATTATGTATAATAACTGTTATCGTAATTTTATAAATCAACATGCTCCTGTACTTGTGGTTTATGAATTCGCTTTAAGTTTTCCCCTAGGAATCCAGATTTTTAACAAAAAAAAAACACCGGATTTTAGTTAACAAAATTTTGATAGGGAAAGTCCTTTGGTGATTTGGAATTTTGTTATAAAATTTAATAAAATAATAGTTTGTGCCATCTCTGGATTTTGATAATTTAACTTGTAATGATAGATATCTCTAGTACCAGTCTTAACAATCATGGCCAGTGTTTAATTTAAAATAAGATGTGGAATAGGTTGTAACATATTTTAAGTATGACTGGACATCATATGTAATAAAATATGTTTTTGGAAATTTTATTAGCAATAAATTTCCCGTGTGCATTCCAATTTAATTATACATCAATGTATACTTAGCTGATGCAGTGTATTGATCCGAATTAGAAATACTTTTTACCACTTTCTATTTTAAATTGTTCTAATGTAAAGACTGCACTACATTGTGTCATTACTACTCATCAGCATAAAAAAATAAAAATCGTTCATGTAAAATAATAACACAAATGGTCCAAGAAAGGACCCGTGCGGCACACCATGAGCAGTACATACTAGCATTGAGAAAATTTTTAGTTATTGCAGATACACTAAGTATAGTTAACTATGATAAAATTAACTCCGTGGTAGAAGGGCGTAGATTATATATAAGTATACGTATATAATTATTTAAGATCTGCCACCACCAGGACTTGGGGTGTTGTCATTCGGTCGCCATCTTGGAAATAAAGGTGTAATTATTTTTTTCATTTAATTCAGTATCCGAGAGTCTCACAAAATTTTGTGAGAAGGAATTTTATAGATAATATAATGATCTACAGCTCTTATCAATAACTTTTCAAAGTAATTTTAAGAATAAAAAGTTATGAGCAGAAACATGAAAAACCAAGAGATGAAAAAATTTAGGACGATTACTTAAGAACATATTTCACATGGTAAGTAGTTTCTAATTAAGCTCCGCCCCTCGACTTACGACGAATGAAAAAAATTATCAGAATTGAGATGGGGTGGGTGGGCGGTACTTATATTTTTTCACAACAAAAACCTTAAAACATGGTTAAAATGGTACAATTCTGCAAGGAAATATGGATTTTGCAATTATGGGACGGAGCCTAATTGCAAAATCGATATTTCCTTATACTTTTCCATTTTAAATATGTATTAAGTTTCATATTGTGAAAAGAAGTCTACACATATTAAAACAAAAAGGCAAAATGTAAGCCCGCCCACCCACCCTGTCTCTATTGTGATGATTTTTTTTATTCGTCGTTAACCAAGCGGACGAAGCTTAACTGCAAAATACTTATTTCTTTACAAGAAATTAAAAACATGTTTTTGAGTATCGGGTTGTTCAAAGAATACCATGTGTATCAAGAAAAAAGAACAATATTTATATTTATATTTTGCCTTTTTTTTCTTAATATAGATAGTATTCTTTGAACAACACGATACTCAAAAGTATGCTTTTAATCTCTCAAAAAGAAATAATTGTTTTGCAGTTAAGCTCCGGCTGTCAAAATATAAGCCCCGCCCACCCGCCCTGTCTCAATTCTGATGATTTTTTTTTTATTTGTCGTAAGCCGAGGGGCGGAGCTTAATTAAAAAATCCTTATTTTTGTACGAGAAATAACCATGTGAAATATGTTCTTAAGTAAAACTAATTGTATTAATTAAAAAAGGAAACCAAAAAGAAGCGCCACCCATCCGTCTCGATTTCAATCGTGATGAATTTTTCATTCGTCACATGTTAAGAAAAAAAGTTTAATAAAATTTTAGGCTCATATTTTGGCAATTTATGTCTATATTTTTAGAAAAGTAACTCTAGACAAGCGCAGTTCGGTTCTTCCTCTTCCAGAATCATTAAACTCATTTTCAGTCCCACAAAAAATACTTCTTAGTGATTTCAGCGTTTGTGAACTCACGTGCTTTAATTTTAGAACTTAGTGCCGAATAAAACTGTGATGGTAATGATTAAAACTCCAGTAATAAAATTTAGGACTAAAACAAATCCGAGACTTATAAAATGTAAAATGAAAATTTCGAAAATTGTTAATTTGGTGAAAAAAAATATCCCATTCACTTTCCATTCCATATCTTCTATTTTGGAAACTTAAAATTTTTAGAAAAATTCGTCATTAAACTCACGATAAATAAACAATAAATCCAATAAATTTATCTTACACACCTTAAAGTCCCCAGCAAGTTTTCAACGTTAGTATTCACAATACAAGATTAAATCAAACACAGTGAAATTTCTAAATTTCTAGAACTCCCGAGAAACGCGAAACAAATATTAAGGCAGGCAGCATTAAATGCAACTGAAGCTTCTTTCGTCGAAAAACAAAGGAAGATCTCTTGTATATTTCCCCATTTGCCGTCTTACTGTTTGTCCCATTTCCATTCCCCATAAATCGTCTGTGTTCCCCTTTACCTAACTGATTTTTAATTAATTTAATGTTTTACTTTTTTCTTAACTATTGTTTCACCCTCCTACACCGATTTACAACATAAGCGTGGAATCCTATAAGGCCGTCTTCTTTTTGTAGGATTGAAAATATGTCCTAGAGTTATCTCATCATTTTTCATTTCCAAGTTTTTCAATTTTTCGACTCATAACATTTTTATTATTAAGGACAGTCACCACATATTAGCCAAAATTTTGAGACGCTCTCATCAAATTTTTAGAGAGGATAAAAGTATAAATTTGACCATGTTTATGACGGTGGTGCAGTTTTCAAATTACAGTAGAATTCTTTTACTGTACCAATTACAACATCTAGTATGTTTCGGTTTCTGTCTTACTCCGACTTACTGTATTTATGCAGGTAAAAAATGCCCGCAGTTCTTAGAATTTTAGGGACGGAAACGATACCTGCGTGAATACAGTGTGTCGGAACGAAAACATAAACATATCGTTTTACAACACCTTGCAAAAATTAAAAAAATTCTACTATAAATTGTAAAAAGTGTTGTGGGATAATTTTGAATTTTTTTCAAGAAATCTGGTTGACCAAAGTAAAAAATAAAGGATTAGCAAACTACTCTTTTAGAGGAATATCATTTTATAAAATTTTAATAAGAGAAAAACTGACTTTTAGCTGCAACATCCACAACTAAATGAAACTTCGTTTTAATCCAACATTTCAAACCTCTTTATTTCACCACCGTGTCACTTGTAATACGGTAAACATTTATAATAATAATAATCATGTACCAAATACATAGTTCGAAAATAATGCTTTAATTTTAGTACAATACTCGGAACGTTGTACAATTACAAATTTAGAGAATCATTTACATTACTTATTTATGAAAGTGGCCTAATGAGGAAACTTTAGACTATTTTTAATAACTAAAATACATTTAGTAAAATTCTGATTTTATAAATGTACGTGAACACCTCCAACTTTTTTTAGATAAAAACCGACAAATTAATCTGTTTTTATAGAGCTGCAAGCTGTCATCGCTATTGACCGTGTTCCATGAATTTAAGCGCCAGTAAAAGGATTTTATGGACCACTCAACCAAATAATAAAATGGTTATCCGTTTATTATTTATGTTGCACCAACCTATAACAGTTACATCATGGTATTCCGTTAAAAATTAGCTAATGCTAAATATTTTGATAATTTTAGATTCAATTTATTTCATAAAATAAAACTTAAAAATGTTATTTTTGACACTCATTTGATTTATTAATTCTTTAAAACTATCATTAGCTGTCCCGAAAAATAGCTTTTTTACGAAAAATAATAACAGAAGAGATATTTAAAACAGGAAATATTTCACTAAACGGTAGCACGTGGCTTGTTGAAGTTTTCAATTCAACTATCTTTTTTTTTTCGACTTTTTTTTGCAAATCGCACTGCTGGATTATGTAACTACAATGGAGAAACAGGTTTTTTTTTCAAGGTCTTGATACAAATTAACAAGTTTCGGCAATGTGAGAAGTCAAATTTAAAAATTCTTAACGTTTTTAATTACCCTCTATTTTAGTATCCATAGTCGTACAGTCTTTTCAGTGCTGTTACGCTCGTCGATTATTTTCTAGTTGCAAATTAACTTAAGAATTTTATACCATACTTTTAATATGTTGCTTGATTTATTAAATTGTTAGTGTGTTTTAAAAAAAAAGAGTAAATTATAGTTTATTTCACATGATTATGATTTCATGTACTTGAATGAATAAATTTTTAAAATATTACAAAGTTTTTTTATTGTTGTACTGTTGTCTTTACCGTGTATTTCGAGCATTAGTGCTCGATTAACAAAAAATACAAAAATAAAAATTCGAATTTATTTTTAGACAGAGCGACATCGTTTGACACCCAACGTCTACTTGATTTGGAATGTGATGTAGGTATCTACAGTTGGCTGTGATTTTAAAACTTTAATTGGTAAGCATACTCAGTACTATTTTTATGCCTCGTCACGTTGTTTTTACATCTAAATTAATTAACGTAACTGTCAAATGCACATCTTAATATGTCTACGTAGCTATCAAAAGCGTCACCTCGAAACACGCTGATATTCACAAGGCAGATTGCCAACTGAAGATTTAAAATAACAGCCAGTTATAATTCATTTTTTTGTTGCCCCTGAAAGAAGACTACACGTCCTAGAAAACTGATCTGTTAATCTACATCAAACTATTGAACTTGTGTTTATTGATCTACTTGGTGTTTCGTCTGTTATTTATAATTATGATTACTGTTAATCGACAAAGTTTAGTATCACTCATTTACAGCGTTGTGACCTGAGACGTATTTTTTTGAAAAATGCTAAAATATTTCTCAAACATTTTGAATCTCCAAGAGATTTTTAGTTTATAGTCTTGTAGATATAGGTAAACTAAGTCCACAACAATACTTGTACTGTCATTGTTTTGGCACCATTAATTTTTAGACCTGTACAAAGCACAAAATTATATAAAAAATATATTTTACCGTTTACAAAATAAGAATCTCATTCAAACTATAGAACTTCTCACAGGCGAATAATTTGTGCTTACTTAGGAAAAGAAATGCGTTATAATACCGTGAGCAAACGGTCTCTCTTTTACAAGCTATGATTAAAACACGTATCTATACTTTACTGGATACTATCACCATATATTACCCAAAACAAAGCCATTTCACCGATACTTTATTGATCTCAATCTCGTTTTGTTTATTATCCCGACCATATCTGTCTGAACAAGTATGATTGTATCCACAAGGTGAATAACCAGAAACTAAACTATAAAAATAAAAACATTTGATCGGTCTTTGATTTAATTGGTTTGTCAACGAGTTACTTAATGAAACTCCCCCATATAGAGATATAATTCCAAAGAATATAGGTGTAATTTGGCAATTTTTCAAGGAAAACACATAGGTGGTGTTTTTTTTTTTGAACATAAGAATTCACGATGACCAGAATTAGAGGCGTAACCGTCTACTGGCACTTGTTTCCTCACAACTAAATGATAAAACTGACATTTGAATGACAACTGATAAACCATAGTTGCTTTTTTGAGGTACGTTGACATTATGGAGCAAACAAAAATAAACGCATATGTTTTTAATTAAAATCCTGTACTAAATATAGACTTCTTTGAACGGCATAAATTAGCCAACCATTTGGAGCAAATCATTTGAACACCACCTCGGTCCTAAAATATTTGAAAGAAATGAAACCACCATGGATACTAATTGCGGCGTAAACAAACAGTAATTCCAAGAAGGATCGCACAAGCGAGGCGGCATTTGTTTCCCTTTTTAAGTTGCCGCCTGTTGCCTGAGACATGATGACTAACCGGTAGATTCTGGTATGTATTATATCAAAGGATAACACCAGAGCGCTTTGTGAAAGAATGTTGATGTAACAATAACCTCATATATAACAAAACTGTTATGCAATAAACACAGCAGTAGTTGAAAGCACCTGTGAAGTAATTTGATCAAGGGAAAAGAACAAAAGCCTGAGAAACTAGCTGATAAACTGTACTGTGGGAGTATGATGCTACAAGATAATTGCTTATGATGTTAAAAACACATTAAATGTCGTGGAAGTAAAGTTGAGTGTCGTTAGTAGGTATCAAATCTCCAAATCCACTTACCATTGAGCTCCCAATAGTACGTCATCCCTATTCCGGGTGTCACCTTACAAGGTAGAGTAACGGATTCACCCTGCACTACGTCGACATTTTTAGGACTCTCACTGAAGTATGGTTCCTCGTTTGAATAAACCACATGTGCTGGAAAGAATTATAGCATTAAAAAAACGACAATAATAATGTACACACACATCATATGGAAACCCGGTAGAGAATTTACTACAAATGAGGTTTTAATGCAGAAAGTAAGAGACGTTTTTCGGGCCGACTTAAAACAATACAACGCATGTTACAACGTTATACCAAATAATTAATTTACTATAAAATTGGTTCCAAGCTATGCATTCATTTCATTCCAATTGTAACAAAGAGGTAATTTTCATGGCTAAATACGAGTACGTAGGTATACAGTTTATTGTGTATACATTGATCGATGCGGCACAGTTGAAAGTTGAAACTTATCGCGCAAGTAAGAATAGCAACATAACAAGTGCCATTGAAAGTAAGTAGACTTAATAATATTCGATAATAACAAATATTAGTATTACAGAATACTGAAAGGAAAAGCAAGTAAGATATCTTAAAATTACCTACTATTTGCGTGAAAAATACAACTGTGGAGAACCTAAAAAAATCGATTTGATATACATGTCATAAACAAATTGTAGCAGTTATAATTTGACCGGAACTGAATAAATATTTAAAGATATTGTTTGTGTCTTGGATATATCGTTGGTAAGGTCTCGATAAAAACGGACACCTAATCATGACTCATTTAGACTTTTTGTTTACACCGTTGCCATGGAAACCACGCCTCTAGTCGCAGTATTTGGGTGGAATTGCGTCACATTTGACCGTCACACAATTTCGTCAATTTCATCGATCAAATTGTGTCGCCCCCATCTGAAAAGGTCACGAGTCGCCACTGGATTATAGGCTAAAATATTTGAGCATATGAATTCGTTCTTAAAATGCTGGTAATTTTGTCATGTAAAATAATTAGTTTTGGACAATTAACACATCCGCACTTTATAATTTCTGAAAAACCACTGGTATTTCGAATTTACCCAAAAATTAGATATCTATCTAGCCTCTAGTGAATTTTGTCTTTGCAGAAACAAGATGCAGTTTTTCACAAAAAATTAAAAAATCAATAGTGGTACTTTAAAACATTTCATTTCAATTACAGCGAAACTCGAAGTGCGACGTTCGCTCTTTAAGCATACTTTATTGTGTAAATTCTCTTTACTCCCTGTAAAGGGAATAGTTTTTCAGTAATTTGAGCCTTCTATTCAGACAAAACATCCCGCACAGCACAAATATAAAAATTGGTTTAAAGTTCCATGGCACCTGAAGCACACATCAAACTCATTTTATGGTAACGCCAATACAAAATTAGTATTGTGTTTCCAGGGTTTTGGAAAATTACATAATCTGTTTTTTATTAAATCAATAAAATTAATTGATTCAATTCCTGAAGAAAATAACACTGGATCTCGAAAAACATTGTTTAACAAGCATTGGCTAAATAATTTTTTGCAATGACGTCATTAACTTCCTAGAGAAAAGAATTTTATCATTGGCCTGTAACCATTGAATCAATATTAGTTAGTATATTGCCAACTTTTCAAAAAGTATGTAAGACAAACCATAAAATTAGTTTTTTTTTTATTTTTTTTTTCTGCGATAATCTGTAGACAGCATGGATACATTATTAAACCACAAATAAGGGAGAATATTACACTACGAATTTTAAGCAACTTTCACTTGATAAGAATTTAAGGGAGAATGAATAGATAAATTGTATTTAATTAGCGATTAAATATGAAATCAATCGGTGTTTTGTAGTTTCTAAGTTAAATTGTAAAATTCGATTGCATAATTCTATTTTTTTCGAATACCACATTCATAAAATTAATAATAATATTTATAAGTCTAGCCCTTTCTTCGATTACCTGTCTAATACTATTATCTGTAGATGTCAAACGAGAGACCTACTTTTTCACACTCTAATAAGGGGTATGAAACATCGAGAAAACTTAAAGTCAGCCATTTGCCAAGTGGATATTACGACAATACTTCTCAAAGAATTGGTCTAAAATTATTTAGACAGAACTTCCCTTGCTCCTGAAGTGCATTCGAACAAACACAGCTTCTTCGAAATCAAAAAAAAAATATTTGCACAACAGGAGTATTTTATTCTATAAAATTTAGATACCTTTTGTTAACCAAAATGATGGGGGGATGTTATTAAAATGTTCGTGAAAATGATCCGACAAATTTTAGGTAACACGCACAGAGAATTTGACAACAATCGATACAGTAGTTTCCTTAACTTACGCTCGGGAAATACAAATTTAGCGGTTATTTAACTTTTGAAAAAAAAAAATGTAATTAATAAATTTACGCTAAGGCTATATGGAAAACTTCATTTTTCTAGCATTAACTTGTCTTTTTAAACATACACTTTTCAAACTAGTATTAAATTAATTTTTATAGTTTGGTTCATAAATACATACATTCTTCCAAGCAGAAAAGGTCCTATCATAAATTTGCAAGAGATATGTGATTTATGATAGATGTTGAAATTTATACAACACCTAGACATCTTAAAGCTATTGGTACGATATGTACTTTGTAGTGATTAAATTAAAAATTGACTGGTTTTCTATAGTTTGTTCCGAAATGTTGAAACAATAATAAATCAAAGTTTGTATAGGAGAAAAAATAATTTCCGAACTAAAACAATTTTGTATTTTAGTGCAAAATTTTAGAGACATATTTTGAGCATTTTGTTAATTATTAATATTATACAAATATGATATCCTCATTCAAGATCATGAAAAAATGTCAAAGGACAATGCATAACAAAACAAAAATTACTTTTTTACCTTAATTTACTTACTAGACAATCTCCGAAACTACAGGACCGATTGTTGTAAAATTTTATATGTATAGTAGGATGGTAAAACGTTAACCAATTTTATATACTCACTCCCACCAGCAATTTGACGACCCTTCATTATTTTGAGTAATTAAGGTCATCTAAACGTAATGAAATAACATATTCCTGTACTCGTGGTTAACGAATCCGGCTTGTTACATTTTTTTTACATGGTTGATTTTACTTATAGGGGTTATCATAAAATAATTTTTTATTAATAAGACATAGTTCTACCTAATAACCGTTAGAATTAGTCGACGCTACCCCTTGCCAGTTTCAGTATCAATAGCCTTAACTCTGAATCCGCCGATCCAACACTTGAGCAAAAAGAAGAAGCCCCAGTTGAATGATTTGCAAGTGTTTATTAAAAGCTTCTGTGTGGTTCTCGAAGCTTCGAGAGGTGTCGGCAGTTGTTTGGAGCCCTTGTCGAAAACTGCCGAATCACTCTCGGCGTCCATCAGTGTTTTACGAAAAACCCCCGAAGTTGATTACAACTAACATATTTAGTTCAAATAGGTACCGCATATCCACAAAATACCTAATTTTTATTTGGAGGAATGGAAGAATCATCAACTTAAAAAAAAAATCCAACAACAATTTCTTTTTAAATGCTACTTCTGCAAGTTAGCCAAGTATATCGAACCTCAACCTTCTTGATTTATAGCTTAGCATATAATTTATAACGCATAAAATAACTATCGTACAATATGTAATTAATGTAATCATGTAATTTATCAGTGTAACAGGTAATTTATTCGTCAAATTGCTGCTGGCACATTTAGTTATACTAAAACACGATCAAGTGAAAATAAATATACAAAAATTAATGAAACTAACGTAGAAACTAATTCATTCATACAATATGTAGGTACTTTTGAAGATTCACATTTACGTGAACACGTAAACCTATTAAGTGTAGACCATAAACGAAAAATAACAGTGTGCGTCTACCGCAAATTACAAGTTCTGTTTCGTCTGCATCTTCTTTAAAATTTCATCTCCCGAAGTATGCTACTATTACGTTCAGCCAGCGATATGACCATCTCATCCCCACAAATTACATGACTCTGGAATAACAGAACGAGCGAGCTGTTTATGCCATCATTAAAATTTCATCAGATATTAGTCCCACACTGGTAGGTCTTTTATCTTACAGCCTCAGTAGGAATATTAACGCACAGCGCGTAATAATTGAAGAAACAGGAAACCGCATCTGATAATTAATATTTGGAGTTGTATTACAGCCGCAAACATCTCCATTTTAATATATATTATTTAATTTATTCAGTTTCAGATGCGAAGGAAAATGCAGAACCGGGCAAATTCTTTCTCTGACTCACACCCCGCTGAATATTTATAATGGCATGCAAAATGCTAAATTTATTTATTTTTGTACTGAGTTTATTATTATTTATTCGGAAATTATGCGTACCAAGGCTGAAAACGCGATCAAGATACTGCATCTTTCGCTAAATTTGCTGAATTACAATGATATGATTATGAAAAAAGCGAACGTAAATAAACTCATGAAGAATTGCTCACATATTTTAATATTTTTATGTGTTTGTTCGCATTTCAACTTGTATTTTGGCTACGTTGAAGTTATCATATGATAATTTTAAACAACGTGCGACCTCCGAGCGGTTTTTGTTAGTATACAGAAGAAAACACCACTTTGGTAAATTTAGAATTCTGTGTTGGTACAACTTTTTGGCCCAATTTTGACATAAGAATTTTAAACAAAATTAACCTCCGATTGGTGTTTATTATTACAATCAATTGAAAATAATTTGTTTTTTAAACAGCCATCCCAAAATGTTGACACTGCCTAAAAGATCATGTTCAATTCAATCTCAGCTGACTCGCACAGAACACTGGTTAAGCAAATCGATCAAATTAGTTTAACATGACACCAAATTAATGTCAAACGTCAGAAAAAAATGAACGATTACTTCGACACCACGTCAACTTAATTTGGAAGACAAATCTAAAACCTGACCACGAACTTAACACTGGTCTGATTTTGTCCTCGCTAATAAAAAATCCATGGAACAAATTTGAAAACTCTAAAGGCTTGTTAAGCGAAAAGGTCTAATATACGCCGACCATTAAAAATGTTTTAAGCACTTAATCATAAAAATGAATCCCTTGAGAAATCATCCTGCAAACGTTGAAGCGTCATGCAGATGTCGACATA